ATGGGATTTGGGTTAGGAAGATTTTTTTGGTTGGGCTTATTATACCCCTGAAATGCGGTTCTTATTAGTTAGATTGGAGAAAAGAATAAATTTAGAAGCCAAAATTAAGCCTTAAAATAAAAGGTATAAATTTGACTTATTTATATTCTCTCTGTCTGTTGTTTTACTTTTCTATATGAGACATACCTTTTTACTTATCCTAGAACCTAGTAAGTAGCTTGTCCAAAGTATCCAGTTCATTGAAAAATCTTGTCATTTCTTCAATCACAATCTCCCTCCTCTGTGTCACTTAGTCTTGGCCTACTCATACACCATCCTAATTCAAGCCCTCATCACCTCTTGCTTTGACCATTATTATAGCCTTTTAATCAGTTTCCCTCCCTTAAATCTCTTCCCGCTCCAATTCATCTTCTACTCAGCTGTCAAATTGATTAGCATCCCCTATTCAATAAGCTCCAATTGCTCCCTATTATCTTAAGATCAAATATCAGGTTTTTGTTTTAAAAATTTTCATAACCCAGTTCCCTTCTACCTTAATTTTTTTTTTACTCCCCTTTATTTATTCTGAGTCAACTACACTAGCTTACTTATGGCACTCCCATTTTCTGTCTCTTTTCTTTTCATTGGATATACCCCATCAGAGAATGTCTTCATTCCTTACTTCTACTTCTTGTTTTCTCTTCTTTCCTTCAAAACTCCACTTACCTCACATTATCTGTAGTAGACAGGCTTTTCCTTGCCCTCCTACCCCCCACCCCAGTTGGCTAGTATCTTCTTTTGTTACATTGCCTTTCATATCTAGTTTTTTGCATATTGTCTCCCTCATTAGAATGTGAGCTACTTGAGGGCAGGGGCTGTTTTTGCCTTTCTTTGTATTCCCAGTTAAGCTATATTAAACCTGTAGTTTACACAAAATTGTTAATTTGAAACGCCAAACAATGATGACTATAATAGACTGAGAGTTCTTTTTTTTTTCCAAGTTTTTTTTTTTTACTCTAGAAGTATTTAACATAACCCTAATTAATGAACATTCTAATATTTTGTAATTGTTTTGGTCAGTTTCAAAAGTTGACTTATGCATTTGGTGAATGGCTATTTACTAATGTTACTGTTTTGGTTCTATTTTTATGTTTGTATTCTCTTGTAAGTTCCTCAAAGCTATGAATTGTGACATTTCTTTGTTTTTAATTTCTTCTTTATCACTATTAAAATCCCCAGAGCCTTCATAGTTTCCTTTGATAACATATTCCAGTGTATCACAGGTCTAATTATCTACAACATGCCTAAATTAGGCCTTTCTTTCATGGCTTACCATGGTAGCTCTTCCTGTACTTCAGAGATGGCTTTGAGACTCACCTTATGCACATTTTCTCTGGCTTTTGTAAACCCAATTCTTTCAGGTTGTCCTACTGAATTATAACCTCTAGGATGTCATGTCAAGGATCGGGTAGTACACATCTTTTTATCCTCCAAAGAGCCTAGCCATAGCGTACTTCCTCTTATTTTTGTAGATATTCAGTAAATATTTGAATGAATAAGGCTTATTACTTCCCAAACCTTTATTGAGATTTTTGGGTTTCTCCAGACCCTCATCAGTTTTCCATCAGTTGTGGGTCATAGAAGAGAGTAGAGCTGTGGAAAGATCCTTCGACAGGATCTTAATATTTTATCTATGTGAAGAAATGTATTTCCTTCCACCAAAGGGGTAGGAGATTGGGTGAAATCCTTACTGATCCCCAAACTTAAAGTAGAGGTTTGAGTTCATGATTTTTAGTTCCTTGAGGCCTGTGATGGTATCTTATACTTCTTTCCATTCCATAAAAGTATATTGCAGTCTGTTTTTAAAATAATAGGCGCTCAGTAGTCACTTAATAAATGAATGAAACTTCCAAAATGAAAGCATGTACATTGGGATTCTTCCCTACTGCATTCTTGAAGTGTGTACATTTTTGAGGTTTAAATCTTTTTGGTGATTTATTATTTTTAAGTGTGGGTGAGCTTACATTACAGTTGATCACATTGCTTCTGTTTTGTTGAGAATGTGTAGTATATCAAAGTTCAATATTGTTTCAAAAAATATGCTATTTAGTACAAAACTTCTTTTGAAATCCAATAGCTGATCACTCAAGATATTTATTTGGACAATATTGTTTAAATATACATCATTACCCATAGGAATATTATATTCCATATAAATTTGGATTTAAAGCAAGTGGACATTCTGGCATTTAAAGAAATGTTACCTGAATATTCAATTGTTCCAGTAGAAAAGAAGTTGAGATGTTTGATTATTTGAATGTTTAGGCACAAAAGGAATTGGACTTTGGATAAGATGTGATATCTGCAAAATTTAACTAAAAGTTCCCAAAATATTTCAAATAATTTAGTAGGTAGGATTGAAATCCAGTATCACTGGTAGATGGATAAATGAAAGAATAAGTAAATGAATTAAAAAATACATATATATTTAAATAAACCTAACCAGAAATATTTCTAATTTCATTAGTTCTGAAAATTCTTTTGACCCCTGTTTAAAGTTAAGGGAAATTTTCTTGAAATAGACTATAATGCCATACCCTTATTATTTTAAAGTTGTCAAATAGATTCTTTTATATATGTATTGTTAATTTATTTCTCAGAGCTCAGTCTATCGTGTCCAGTGCCTGAGCAAATTTTTTAAAATTATCTGTTGATTCTGTTCAAATGGTAGCAGTTTTTAGTTAAGACAGTTCCTAACACTGTTTTGGGGCCATGTGGTGATTGGTTGTGGGCATACATGAGTATAATACTACAGGTAGTAAAGGAATGTTTCTGTCTTTTAATTTTTTGACTTTATATGTTTTCAAAACTGTTAATGTGAAGTGTATTAAGGAATTGAATAAACATACGGATTTATCCATTGGTGGTTTTCTTTTCAGACTTCTTTGTGACACAGGTACTTTGTAACCGTAAAAACTATCTCTGTCATCTATCTATCTATTAGTTATTCCTTCTTTTTTGAGTCTTTAATTTTTGTCAACTTTCAATTAATTCCTGAGTTCATTATTGGACATATTATTGAATAATGTTATTCCTTATCAAGGATGATATTATGTATTACAGAGTCTATATATTATTAAATATATTTTGAACTACCTTTTGGTAGATATTTTTTCTGCTGTCATGACCCACAAATGCATATATTATTCTTTTAGAGTCAGCAATTCTTTCATGTCCTTACTTCTTATTACTAATTCCTTTAATCACTGATACATACAACAATGTTTTACAACCTAGCTAATGAGTAATTGGGTAGTTGACATTCAGATGGGACCCTGAAATGTTAACATAATGGAAAGTGGTATATTTTCCTAAATGTAGCAAGGGAGCCAGCCTAGGTAGTTTTAGGGGATGGGAGAGCAAAGAAGTAGAAAAATAAAAATTCCTGTATCAGAGACTGAGATATGGAACTTCATGAATATATCAATCTGATCTATTAATATCTTTGATCTTACATAGTCAAAATATAACAAATAAGATAATACTAAGAATATTCCCATTGAACTCTATTTTTAGTAGATAGAATTCATCTTAATCATGCTAATAGAAAAATATCCATTGTAAATGAATATTTTAAATACAAATGAAGAATTTCTAAGTAAGTGAGCATTTCTGCTTTGTAAGTTATTTGAGCTTAGTGTTATAGATATCATTTGAGATATGTATGTATCCATCTCTCTGTCTATATATCTATATCCTTTTATTTGTATGTATATGTGTATATACATATGCATGTGTGTTTACATGTTTATGAAGGTAGTATCTGTACACAGACATATTTCAGTAATCATAGATTTCTTTAAAAATTGTAGAGAGATGTTTTCCTGGAAGTTCATGTGTTTACAGTAGATTCTTGATCTGTGAATAATCAGAATAAATCCTTTCTTTCTTAGACATCTTCATACAAAGGCACACCATAAATTTACTAAGAGTAGTTGGAGGAACATAGTTCATCTTTAGCACAGTTTAGAAACATAGGCTTTAATCCATAAAAATGTTACACTCCATTTATGCGGACTAAATATACTTACTTCATTATATAAACTGGTGAAATGATCTTTTTTAATAGTTATTTTTAAAAGAACCTCTTAATTTTAAAACAAGAAACAGTTATATTCTTATATACTTAGAATGTTTGCGTTTAAGACTACTTCTAGGCTGCATGTTTAGATTTAAATACAAACAGACCTAAATAACTTATTTTTTATTATTATTGTCATCATCATCATTAACCTAAGAGAGAAAATAATGAAAGTGTCATGATTTCCTAAGTGAGAGAATGATATGGATTTTACATCAAGAACTACAAATAATCGGAACATAATAAATGCAAAGTTCCTTGCTACTTCTCATGAACCACTGAGGTCCTTGTCTTCTGTTATTGCATATCTGTAAGACGAGCAAAGTATTTGAATGAACTTCAGGGAAAGACGAGTACCACTTTAGTATTTTTATGTATATTTTTGCATTGAAGTTTCATGTTGGCTTACAACTGAGCATATTAACTTAAATTTGAAGATTTAAGCTGCAGTGTTTTTTCTTTGAGTTCTTGGTATATCAAACAGAGAATCTTATATAAAAAATCTGTTTCTTTATTCCACCTTTGGTGGAACCTTTGCTTTCTGTTCTTTTAAGGATGTATCCAACACTACAGTAATAGGATATGTTAGGTTGATGAAATAACCTTTTTTATTCAACTTGCTCAGAGATGTTCATACATCTATTTGAAATCTGCTTATATCTTATAAAGCTTTATTCTTAAAACAACAACAACAATTCAGCTCCCTGCACATCTCCACACTTTCATTTAAAACACATGTCTTTATATTGGTGGATGTTTACTTAAAAATGTGAGGAGTGTTTCTATTCCAGAGGTTTTGGTTTTTTTCTCCTTTTTAAATGGTGAGAAAGCAGACATTCAGACAGATAATTAAATGTTGTTTTTGTTCTCCCTTTTTCAGGCCATCCGCTGTACACTGGTAAATTGCACGTGTGAATGTTTCCAGCCTGGGAAGATTAACCTGAGGACCTGCGATCAGTGTAAACATGGATGGGTGGCACATGGTGAGGGAATTGCGGGCTTTACTTCCTGTTTTGATTTTGTGTGTGTGTGTGTGTGTGAGAGAGAGAGAGAGAGAGAGAGAGAGAGAGAGAGAGAGAGAGAGAGAGAGAGAGAGAGAGAGAGAGAGAGAGAACAGTTTCTGGGATAAAGAAGAGAGGTCCAGTTTTACTGGCATTGCCTCCAACTGTTGGTGGAAGCAGTTTGTTACCATTTCTGTGTGAGGCTCAAAGAGCATATTCTAGTCTCCAAGAAGTAACGCTATGCTAGCAGCTCTCAGCAGAAGGGCCAGATGTTTATAGTATGGTTGGTCTGCAGAGTTCATATTGCACATAGCAGCAGCCTTATGGAAACTCAAACATACCATGGTCAGCCTTTCAAAAGCCTGGATGTCAGAATGAAATTGGCAGATATTCTGGCTGAGCAAAAAGACTTCTAAGGCTGCTCACCCTTATAATAGGCTAAAGTAGCTGAATTCATGCCACCAGATGTTAAATTGAGAGTGGGGAGACAGAACGTGGGGCTAAGGAAGGGTAAGAGAGGAGAGGAGAAGATTTTTTGGCCCAGGTCCATGAAAATAATATGTAAAAATGAACCTTAATTTGTTGTAATATGAGGTAAAGGATACACAAAGAGAAGACTGAAATGTAAGTGGCTTTTTGCCAGGTAAACACGAAAATTCCACTACACGTAGCTTGATTGTATTATGTTCAGTGGAAGTCTATTACATACCATTATAGGAAAAGTAGAAACAGAATTCGTGGGTAGGGTTTTATTCACCTGGATTAGGGCAGGGAACAGAAGTGGAATGATTCTGATAAATAGTGTTCACAGAAGAAATCTATTCCTGAAATTATTCAGACATTCCAGGATATTGGCCCCAAGTGGGCATACTCTTCATTCCCTTGTAGTGCCAAGTATCCAGTAGGGTTGAATTTTAATAAATTTCCTGCTATTCTAGTAAAATCTCTAGTCTCCACACAGAACCTCAAAATGGTGTTCATCTATTGTTGCTTCCTGATTTCATGTCGTTATATATGTGTGTGAGATACTTCATTTATGTTAATGCAAAGTGATGGAGGAAGGGAATAAGAAATTGAAGGAAGGCATCCACATAGTATTTCCACAGGTGGAAATAGAATATTTGACAGAGATAGACACAATTCCATGTTACACACAGCAGTGGAATATGTTCCTGCTCACATAGCACCAGTACAATAACCTGTAACAACACTGGGCGCATTATCCTTGTAGTCCATGAGGTTGTCATTAGTTTCCTTTAAATGATATTTTATTTAGTGGTTCCCCTCCTAGCATGAATGAATAGATGTATCCTTTTGCTTTCCCTGCTGGCCTCCCAAACTCAGTTTACTACTTTTTGCTCAAGTATCAAGCCATATCACTTAAGCAAAAATGTTTAATTTCATAAAAACTGAGTATAAACACATTACCTGGTGGCATTTGGCCACATTTAATAGTTGGAGAAATGGATGAATTACAGTATTGTGAGCATTGAAACCCAATGGTTTTCTCTATCTGCCCATCAACTTTTGTTTCATTCAGTAGCCTACAGGATCCATTCTCCATTGTAAAAAACAAAACGCTTACTATCCTACAGATTGGTTGTTGTTTGGTATTCTAGTTTCATCTATGGAAGTTGCTCTGGCAAAGGAATAAATAAATTAACATTTTTTCCTCCTTGGCATAAATTATTGCTAAGAGAGCGACTATTTCCAAGATTATGTATGAGGCACATGACTCATACAAACTTTGTCTTACATTTTTTGTTATAACAAACCTTATACTTAGCATATCATGCATAGTTATTGTGTTTGTACACTACAGTCAACATGTATTTCCTCAGATTTGACCAGGATAAGTGGAAAAAAATTTAATTTCATTCTTTCCCTGTCTCTCACTTCCTTCCTCTTCCCTCTCTCTCCTTTTCTCTGTTCCCCTCTCCCTTCACTTTCTCCTCTCTCCTTCCTCTCTTTTACTTCCTTTCTACATACACATATATGTGTCTCTATGTAATTCAAAATATGCACATTCAGCTATGCAGATACCAAACTCTCCCTTCCCTTCATTACCACATACATGACAGTGAGTGGTTGGCTCCTAGCCTTTGAGTTGGCGGTAGGGTTGAGAGCGCCCACTTTTCTTGCCCCCAGCATTCAAACTAATTGCTTCACCCCCTCCCTTTACACAGAAACCCTGAAATCATGTCTCCAATTATTTCTGCTCTGAGGTGAAACACAGCAGTCTTCTTTGGTGCTCTCGCTCGCGCTCTCTCTCTCTCTCTCTCTCTCTCTCTCTCTCTCTCTCTCTCTCTCTCTCTCTCTCTCTCTCCCTCTCTCTCACACACACACACACACACACACACACACACACACACACACACACACGCATCCATGTCCTGGGGGAAAAAAAAAGAAAAGAAAAACAACAGTGTGACTTGGATTTTCTAGTAGGTGGTTTTATCTCAAAGTGGATGGGATGGAAACAAGACCACCAGAACCCAATTCATAGAAGTGTTTCAGAGAAGCCCTGAATACACCCCACCTGCTCTGGTGCTGTTAAAATATTTTTCTAAATTCTTGTTGCCAAGAAATTAAAAAAATTCAAATCCTAAATTCAGGTATTCCTTTAAAAAAAAGTTCGTATTTCAAAACCACATCCTGTGTAAAATCTTCTGAATATTTGTTTGGACCTTTTCACTAGATTCATCTTCCTTTCAAACAACATCCCTGCTTTCTGTGTTTTAGAATTTAAATTATATGACTTAGTGAAACAAGTCATATAGACTTGTATGTATTATGTGCATGTATATAATATATATCATATGTGATGTATATATGTATATTTCATGTGCATACTGGGTGTATGAGCTTATAAGTTCTCTAGAACAGTGAGAAACCTTCTTAATTTTTTGACCTTAATTGCTTTCCAGAAATTTTGAGAAAGACATTAAAAAGGCAACTGATTAATTCATTATATATTATAGCACCTGGTTTTTGAAATGATTCAGTGGGTATGGTTGCTCTTCAGAAATTACTTCCTTTAAACAGTTTGAAAAACTGTTCTTGAATATTAATAGGTTGTTCCCACTGAATTAATTAGGGATTGCCTACTTTTTTTTCATTAATGAATTTCAACTCTTAAGCTTTAATATGAAGCAGAATATTTTATGGTATACAAATTGAATTAAAACATTCTTTATGTGAATGCTAAGCTTTTCCAACCTGGATAACCTGAACTATAATGAAGAGTATAGGTCAAAAATTGTCTAGAAATGCAGTATTCTAATATATTTCGTCACTGATTTGTGCAGAGTCAATATATTAAGAGGAGCCCATTTCTAGGGTTGGAATTTTTGAAGAGAGGGCACCGTGCCACAGTTGGGTCATTTCACATGGCAATTGCTAGACTGTGGGTTTTTCTCCCGTTTTCCCTATATTTTGCTTCCTTCGTCTAAAATGATCTGATTCTTGAAAAATAAAGAATTCCTTCAATGTCACTTTTCTATTCAGAAGTACCAAAAGGAAGATATCAATATGAGAATATAGTTAAAGGGTTCCTTTTGTGTTCATAGGTAGGTTCTGTTGATCCTGATCCCTTGTTCTGCCAAGGTGTAATTCATGGGTGCACATCCATTTAGAGCTGGCAAGTACCATAGGAGCTTGTCTAATCCAAGCCCCTTATTTCACAGATGAGTAAACTGATGTCCAGAGAAATTGAGCAATTTGTCCATGGTCAAATAGATAGAAAATGGTGGAACAATGATTCAACCTAGGTCTTCTGACTTAAGAATCAGTGATCTTTCCACTATTATACAATCCTTCCCCTCATGACCACCACTACCTGTTCAGTATGCCATTTTTAGCACATATACACTATAGAAGGGTTTGAAACTTGTCATTTATATATGCTGAAATTCCAAGTAGTACTACCTACCTTTTCTTCCTTTCACTCTCCATTGAAATAAAATTCTGTGACTCAGAACAGGAAAACTAGCATCAGTATCTGCATTACCAAACATTTCTTTACCTTAAAAAAAGTATTCACTCAGAATTACTTTAAATAATGATCTGTGATGATTAAAATTGTTTTTATTTATATGTAGTTTTCCAGAAAAATCTCTGTTTTGTAAAGTAAAATATACCTGTTACCTCAGCCACTTCATAATAGGATCTGGATCTATAGGTTAAATTGTGTAACCTGTAGATTAAGTGGTATTTCTGGAGTTTTCATGACCTCCTTTTCCTCTTGCACTTTCCAACTTAGATATAGCCATGGTCTCACAGGTATGGATCAGAGGCTTTCCACATTTCGTGCTGTATAATTCTTGTTGACTTTATTATTTTTTTTTTGTAAATACTCCATGAAGGATTAGAAGTTTTCCTCTGGTATTTTAATTTTTAATATTTAGTAAGCATCAAGGCATTACTTGGAATATCACTTTTATTCTTTCTCAGTTTTCTCTCTAACTCATCCACTTTCTTTTTTTCAGGCATAGAAGTCCTTGGTTCTTTTATGTAATTTCCTGGTCCTAGTCATTATACACTATATCATCTTTCCTTTGCCCTGTCTTGCATATTTCTATTGGCTCACCTGCAATTTTTATTCTTTGAGATAACAGTTCACTTTTCATTAATGCTTTGAGGTTTACAAAGTACTTATTCTGCAGAGGAAAATGAACTTGTCCAGTGTCTTAGCTAGAGACTTGTCAGAGCCAGGAATTGAACCCAAGTTTCCTGACCTCATTTCTACAGTCTCACCAACACACTATGAGATGAGATGATGGCATTTCCTTTTACAGGAAATGGAAACCAAGAAAGTTTAAGTGATTTATATAAACTTTCAAAGCTAGTAAGTGTAAGTCAAGGATTGGAACTCAGGTACTCTTACTTAGGTTCCAACAGTCTTTCTACTGGCCATGATATGCCCTGGTTTATAATACTTCATATTTCATTGTGGTTGTCAGTCCAAATGCTAGCCATGCCCA